GCTGCAGGGAGACACTAATGGGCAAACAGTGGCAGGGTGCAGGACACCGGGGTTCCCTGACTGCCCACCAGTCCCAGGCAGGGTCACCCACAGCTGTGTAAACACCAAGGTGCAGGCGGGCTCATCTCTCCTACTCAGGATTTGGATCAGGTGGAGGAGTTGTTCAGAAAAGACACCAAAAGCCACAGGGCCTCAGTTATCCTGAGGGCTCCAGGAGGTGGGACCTCTGGCTGGGCAGGTTGAGCGGGGTCAGCTCAGGGCCCTCTGGCCACTGCTTCCTGCACTCAAAGCCCAGTGACCTGGGGCCCCGTGACCTGTGCAGATTCCTCTTGAAGGTTGGGGAGGAGCGGCCAGTGCTGTGCCCAGGTCCAGTGCCATGGTCTTAGGCCCCTCCTCTGCCCACAAAATTCAGGAGTGCAGAGGATGAGCCCACAGAACGTCCACACATACCCAGCCCCTCAAACCACATGGTGCCCACCTGAGGCTCCCTCCCATCTCCAGCTCTTCCCCGCCCACTCCTGAATTCTTCTCCATGAAAAACTGATCAGTTCTTTCCTGTTTAAAATTCCAAGATAGACCCTTTCCCTCAGCCCCACAGGCAAACTTCTGAAGTCATCCACCCTCACTCCCCAAGCCCCTTCCCGCTGGCTTTCCACCCTGCAGCCTGTGGCTCCCTGCTCCATTTATGTCTGCCCATGGGTCTGCAGGGCTCATGGACATCTGTCTAACAGAGAGGGGACCTGTTGTCTCCATGGATCCCCAGAAGCCCCCCCACACAGGGCTGAGCTGGAATCCAGCCACTCCAAACCCCAAGCCACAGGTACTCCTCCAGGAGGGCCACCAGGGTGAGGGCAGAACCAGCAAAAGTCCCGCTTTGAAGCAAAACTCAGAGACCAGGCAAGTCCCGGCAAAGCACACCTTTATCCAAGGGGCTAAGGCCTCCACCTGGGGCAGGGCCCCCCTCACTTTCTTGAGACCAGCTCCTCGACGGCCCAGCCTGACAGTGTCCAGCTGGGGCTGGGCATCCTCTCCAGCCGTGGTCCTCGGTCACTGCCGGGTCTCCTCTGCCTGCCATACCAACTCGCCGGAGATGTAGGTGGCCAGGACGTGGAGAGAGTCATCGAGCACCACGAAGTCTGAGTCAGAGGTGGGCGGTGAGGAGGAGGCAGGGGCAGGGCCACCGCCACCCCCACCCTGAGGCTGGTGGGGGAAACCAAGGCCCAGGATACGACTGGTGCAGGACACCTCAGCCTATCACAGACTGACGGAGCCCCTGGAGCTAAGACTCCTGGCGGTAGAGGACCGCACACAGAGCTCTCAGCAGCCCCTTGCCTGTTCTGAGGGAAAAGGGGGGAGCCGGGCAGAGCCACCTGGGTGTAGGGAAGATCCCACCTGCCCACGCTGGTCCCGTCCCAGGCCTCCCAAGAACTCCCGAGTCCTCAAGGCTGCCCGGGCCAACCACGCCGCCCACACTGGGCCCTGACCTGCATCGGCCCCGAAGTCCAGGGTCCCCTTATGCTTCTCCAGCCCCAGCAGTTGTGCGGGGTGCAAGGACGCCGCCTCCAGGGCAGCCTCCACGCTGCAGCCTGCTCAGGGGACATAGACAGGTGACCATCCTCAACCCCTAGCTGGCTTGGCCATCTGACTTCTGGAGCGAGGAAGGGAAAGACCCCGAGTCCTGGGTGGCTTCACAGATGCCGAGGGTCCTGCTCTCCTGTGGGGTGCTCTCTGGGAAGCCAGGAGGAGGAGGAGCTCATGGGCATTTGGGTTTAGAGTGTTTGGTCAGTGAGGTTCCTGGCAGGGCTGGGGTAGATGAGAGGCCCAACAGGGTTCCCCCCAGCCCCAGAGTTCCAAGTCCTATAGACGCATCCCAGGACTCTGCAGCAGGTTGACAAGACCCCACTCTCTCCCTGACCTGAGGATACTACTGGGTACCCCAGTTCTCTCCATCCTCTACTTCACCCCTGCCAAGCCAGGCCACAGCTCTCTTCTGCCTCCCACCCCGTCTCCTGCTGCTCCAAACAGCACCTTGGACCATAGTGCTCCCCAACCTCCCACATGACACCCCAGCAGCAGGGTGCTGCCCAGAGCCCCACAAGGCCTGGCCAACCTCCCCTAGAACATGCCAACCCACACTCAGAGGCCCCCCACACAGCCTGACCCTGGAGTGCTGCTCCAGCCCTCCTCCCCAGACCTTGCCTCCCTGCAGCTCTGCACCCGCGAAGTCCTGCAATCCCACAGGCCCCACGCCAAGGCCCTGCCCTCAAGTTCCAGTCATCTGCTGGCTCACCGCCTCTCCCTCTGCCATGAGCACCTGCAGGCAGGGCCTTGGCCACATTCCTAGTGCCCATCCCCTGGGAACTCCACCAGACACAGACAGATGAGGGATGTGGGTGCAGGACCCTGGTGGTCCCCTCTTCCCTCCAGCCTCTCCCAGATGAAGTCTCTGCCCCAACACACACACACACACACACACACACACACACACGCTCACACGGCACGCACAGCCTGGCCGCACTGACCTGTGGCCTGTAGGAAATGTCGCACGCACACGTCCATCGGGGCGATGCTGCCGCTTAGTGTCTTAGTGCCTTGAGAACAGAGAGGGTAGGTTTTGAGGGCCAGGGGTGGGTTCTTACACCCCACCAGAGGGGCCGAGGGGCTATTCTCACTCGGGCAGTCTTGGAGACTGGGGATACTCACCTGCCACATAGGCTGTCAGCCCATCCACCTCCACCTCCTGCTGCCCCAGTGTGTGTCGGCCATTGCCCAAGCCCAGAGCAGGGACGGCGTCAGTGACCAGCACCAGCCCTATAGGGGGAAGGGAGCTCAGGACCCAGCTGGGCTGGTCTTCCTACCTGCTCCCGCCCCAGCCAGCTGCTCACCCTGGGGATGGGCCCGGTAGGCGATGCGCAGGGCGGCGGGGTTGGTGTGCATGCCGTCGGCAATCATCCCATAAAAGATGTGGCGGCCCGGGGGCAGCTGGTCACTGGTTAGGAGCCCCACGATGCCAGGGTCACGGTGGTGGAACTGGGCAGGGGCAGGAGGGGGGCACTGAGCCACAGCAGGACTGCCACACCCTCCCGCCCAGAGCTGGGGCGCCACTCACGGGCAGCATGGCGTTGAAGAGATGGGTGATGAAGGTGGCCCCACTCCGCACGGCTTCCTCTGCAGCCCCCAGGTCAGCCACTGAGTGTCCTGTGTGGGGACCCAGGCTCAGACTCAGCACCCAGCCTGGAGCCCCGGGACAGAGGTCAGGACACACTCCTCACCGAGGGACACGCATATTCCAAGGGCTGTCAGCGCCTGGATCACCTCGTGACTGCGGTCCAGTTCGGGGGCCAGCGTCACAATGCGGACGTTGTCAAGCGACCCATAGGTGGCCAGCAAGTCTTGGAAAGCGCTGGCCTCAAAGGAGCGCAGGTGGGCCTCAGGGTGTGCGCCTCGCTTTTCCCGGCTGATGAATGGGCCCTCCAGGTGCACCCCTGGGGGGAGGGGAGGGGAGGTTTCCAGCAGGCCCCCAGCCGCCCTGCTGCCCCCACCCTGATGCTCTTGCCTGCCCGTCCTCCCCCCACAGTTGGGCATCTGGAAGGAGAGGGGCTGCCAATAGGTCCCCAAGGAGCCTCCCAGGATAGGGGCGGGGAGAGGGGTCAGCCACTCACCGAGGACCCCTGCCCCATGGGGACCACCACTCTTCACGGGGATCTGAGGAAGGACCTGGGGGGAACCAGCTGTTAAAGCCCTGCCCCCCGCGGCCCAGCACCCAGATGTCAGAGCCCAGCCCAGTCCCCGCTGGCCTTCCCTCAGGTGTTAGAAAGGTCGAAGGCCCTCAACCATGGTCAGGGAAAGCACAGCATTCAGAAGCAGCGGGACACAGGGTCACAGGAGCATCAAGAAATAACAGGCCCCCAAGGATGCAAGACTGGTCTGCTGAAGAGGACCCTGAGACAAGGCAATAGCTCCCAGGCTATGGGCAGGCATGGGGCACCAAGGCCCTCAAGGTGGCCCCATCAGACAGCAGTTAGGACACAGTGGGGCCAGGAAGCATTGGGCCTGACAGGGTGACAGGCCAGGCCTTCCTGAGCTACAGGCCTGGGAAGCAGGGCTGAGGTGGGAGGAGGACATGCATTCCAGGCAGAGCAAAGGGCAGAGGCACGGGCTTGGTGGCTGGGGAGCTCAGGCACAGACGGCGTGGCCATTCTGAGCCCGAATCTGGACACAGTGGGGAACGTCACTTGTGCATGACAGGTGCTCACATCACATATATCAGAGGACAGGCAAGCAGGTATCCCAGCCCAAAGCCCTCTCCTTCAACGTGGGGAAGGATGTGGGATGGGGAGCCCTACAGGATGCTCCCTGCAGAGTCTCCGGGGAGAGCCTGGTGGACTGGTGTACCCTCTGCCCCAAAGAGAAGAATGGGGATTTTTCAGAGGCTTAAACTCAGCGTGAAGACAGGACAAGGGCAGGCTGACTCAGGAGCCCAAAAAGCAGCTGCTGGACAAAGACACACCGGGGAAACAGCAAGGAAGCAGGCACCGCACCACATCCCAACTGGCTTAGGCTTTGGCAGTGCCTGGCGCCTCAAGAAGCAGGTGAATTGACAAGAGGAGCCTCACTAAAGAGCAGCCAGGTCCCAGGGTGGCACAGTTCAGTGGCAGAGCACGGACTCAGCATACATAAAGTCCTGGGTTCAATCCCCAGTACCTCCATCGAAAAAAAAAAGAGATAACTTAAGATACAGCAGTGTTTATTTGTGTGTGTGTGTGTTTGTGTGTGTGTGTGTCTGTAAAAGATAACATTAAAAATAAGTAAATAAAAATAATCTTCAAAAAAAAAGCAGATTGGTCCCCAGTTCTGTCCCGCCATGCACCTAGAGGGCTAAAGCAGAGGGTCTCCAGGTGAGGGCAATTTCTACTTTTGTTTTACATGTAGATTACCGAGCCCCATCCCAGACCCGCTGATGGAGGATCTGTGGGTGCAGGGACTCACGAGTGTGCATTTCATTTTCTTTCTTTCGATGGAGGCACTGGGAAGTGAACCCAGGACCTTGTGCATGCTAAGCACGGGCTCTACCGCTGAGCTTTACCCTCCCCAGCACAGCAGATGAACTCCCACCAGTCCCCACACGTCCCTCTGCTAGGGACAGAGGGAAGACCCCAAAGGCTTCCAGATGGAAAAAACAGGTCATGCACAAAGGATCAGGAGTCAGATGGCTTCTGATTTCTCATCAGCAACCCTGGAAGTTAAAAGACAATACGCAAATGCCATCAAAATTCTAGAGAGCAGTGACTTCTAATCCACAGTGCTAACCCAGACAAGACATCGATTAAGAGAGTCAAGTTATCTCACACCTCCAACATTTTAAAAGTGTTACCCCCTGTGACTCCTTTCTCTGGGAGTTGCTGGAGGATGGGCTCCACCAAAATGAAGGTGTAAATCCACAAAGAGGAAGGCCCGGGATACTGGACAGAGAGACACAGCAGAAAGAGGCCTGGGGGCCCGCAGCTGAGGGGAAGGGAGCTCCCAGAGAGCTCGGCCCCAGTGAGGCCAGCAGCCAGCCCTGGGATAGCAGGTCCCCAAGGCTCCCAAAGGAAGGTGAAATGGATGGCACCTCTGCAGAAGCCTCCAAATCCTGAACAGAGAGGGAGATGACTGGCTGAAATCCTGGAGTTGAGCCAGTAAATTTTAAAACTAAGCAAACGAAGACTATTAACTCCAAGCAAAACAGAGTTGACAAGTAAGAGAATGTAATTGAGCTGAGTCCCCAGTCCTGATAACTAATCTAAATGAAATTATAGGAAACTCTCTGGGGAGGAGGGGGGTGGGGGCAGCAGGGCACAAAAGGGCACTACAGAAAGCTAATCCTTGTCCTTCTGGGTGGAAAGCACATTTATGCTGCGCGAAACCAAAAAGGTGAGCAGGAATGCCAGTATATTCTTTAGCGCCATGGGGGCAAATTCCAAGCGTCAACTGGGTTGAAAGTAATTCTCTCTAGGTGGGGACTGGTGGGAGCAGAGGACTACTGTTTTTTTTCTAACAAGCCATGTGATGTACATACGTTCACTAAAGAGTTAAAAGAAAGAGGAAAGAAAGGAAAGAAAGGAAAGAAAGGAAAGAAAGAAAGAAAGAAAGAAATAATGGCTGTTTTCCCAAAATAGAGTTATAAAAGGGAAAGCTAGAAAGCACTAAATAAACAAAACAGACAGTTTGGAAGTGAAGGGAACGAGGTACGTTCAAGGCAGGAGAGCATCAGAAAAAGGTCCAAGTGTAAAGGGCATGTCAGGCCAGAGGCAAGAGCCTGGCTGCCATCCTGAGGATGTGCCTGATGTTGGCTCAGCAGACAATGGACCTGGAGCAGAGAACAAGGCAATCACATCTCCCTCCTGGAAGGGTAGCAAAGAACAAGGCAGAGACCCCAGAAAAAGGGCAGGTGGTCTCCATGAACCTGAGTAACTTCTGATAAAGTAGCAATCTGGGCCCCGGAGGAAGGCTGGGCAGAATTAGGGGAGCAGTGTGTGTGGGGAGAACCCAGGGTACAGTCCTGTAGTTTCTAAGATGACACTAGTATTAAAGTTTTCAAATTCAAAGCCCTCCACAAGTTGCACCATAAATCAGTTTACTCTGCCTCCGAAGGCCTGCACACTGTATGCATTTAAGAAGGGTGACGGGTGCTGGGAAGAGAAGAGAAGAGAAGATGGAAGTCCTGCTGATCAGAAACCCCTTCTCCTGAGGAAGAAGCCCCATAGTTTGTCTCACGATGGCCAAGGGTGGCGCGTCTGCAGACACCGCACATGGGCCAGCTGGTGTGGTGGACAAAGCTAAGCAAAGGCCTCCCGGGCAGAGAGCTTGAGGGCAGAAGAGGGAGCTGCCTGGAATGGCTGAAATGCAGCTGCGCAGGAATGCTCAGGAGGGTAAGTCCAGCCTGAAGATGAGTTGGGGAGGTGGGAGGGCCATGCTGAGCTCCACACCTGGGGAAGGCCACCCAGGCGGGACTCGGAGCTGGGACAGCAGTCGCAAGACTGGGTAACAGTCACTAAGCCACTAAGTCACTGGTGGGGATCAGAGGGGCAAAGAGGGAGGGCTTGTTTCCAGATCCTGGGCAGGGAAGTCACAGACTGATGCCAAGACAGAAAACACAGAACCAGGTGCCAGTCTGCAGCAGGGAGATAAGCTTGGTTTTTGACATCTGACTCTGTGATGGGGGAAATTTCCAGAAAGATGTCCTTAGCTGGCATTTACCAGGTGCTCAAAGTGAACCAAGCAAAGTGCTGAGCACCCAACCCAGAGAGATGGACTCTGTTTATTCGTACTTAAGGTTTGAAGAAACCAATGTTCAGAAACCAGTAAGTAATGACTGTCTTGAGTCTCCCAGCTGATAGATGAAGTCAGGAGGCCGGAGCCAAACCCTGAGCCCACAGCCCACCTCCCCCAGCTCCCAGCTCTGAGTCTCTGTCCACACCCCCAGGAGGGAACTCCACAGCAGCCAATGCAATCCGTGATCCCAGAAAGAATCCCGAGTTGGAGAAAAACTACAAAACCGGAACATAAATGGTCGACTGGAAAATAACAGTGTTAATTTTGCAAACTCAGTAACTCTATACCTGTACTTGCATGAAGGAATGCCTGTGTGTTTAAGAAGAGATTCAGTGATAAGGAGTATAGAGGCACGAAGCGTGTCACCAACTCTCAAATAGTTCAGAAATAGAGAACCTACATACAGAGAAAACAAGGTCGAATAATAAGACGGGGCAAAGACTAAAACTGGAGAATCTTCGTAGAGTAAAACATTTTAAAGGAAAAACAGACAAGGGATAACTGAATCCCAAGCCTCGCAGGTAAGAAAGAAGTAGAAGAGAATGGGGTGGAGGCCAGATTAGAGGAAGGCTTGGGGTAGACCACAGAGCTTCCTTCTGAAAAGTGTGTTCACTGGAGTCACATACCACAAACCAGTTGGAAGGATGAACGTCTAAAGATGGGGCAATCACAAAGTCCCCAGCAGCCTCAGGCAAGGAGGCGGTTTCTGGTGCCTGGAGGTGGCCAGAGCACAGGGAGGGGAGGGTGTGTGGCTGGTGAAGGTGCTGAGGCAGCAAGTTCGAAGCTGTGGGGACAGCTGCAGAGGTAGCCAGACCCGCAACGGCAGACCAGCCAGAGGGACACCGGAATGAGAATGCCCGGGGCAGGGCAGGGGACCCCCAGGCCCAGGTGGTTGGAGACCAGCAGGTGAGCCCACTCAAGCGCCAAGGGATGTTGGGAGGGGAAAAGATGAGATTCCAAAATTAACAAGCTGGGTGTTTCTGGAACCTCCTTCACTTCAGGCCGGGAGCCTGACCTCACCTTGTGATAAACCTCCGGTGGCGAAGTGACCAAAGTGGGACAGAAGGAGGTGACTCCGTGAGACAGGATTCTCCGGGCCACCAGGGCGACTCCTGAACCCACGTCCTCCGTGGCCTGAGAGAAGTCAACGCCAAAGCCACCTGAGGCCACAGAAAAGAGGCGGTCGCCCGGAGCTCAGAGCTCCTCCTCTGAGTTCCTCAGCCCGAGGGCCCCGGACCGCACCGTTGATCTGCACGTCTATGAAGCCGGGCGCCAGGATGCAGCCCCCGCAGTCCCGCTGCTCGTCAGCCACGCGCCGCTCCTCAAAGAACAGCTTCTCCGGGTCCAGAATGCGGCCCCCGCGCACCCACAGATCCTCCCTGCGCACAGAGCAGGGCAGGGGCTAGGATCGCCGCCCCAAAGCATTCCTGGCAGCTCCGGGCCCCGCGCCCCCCCGGCCTGGTCCGCGCCCCGCGCCCACCTGAGCAGCGCCCCGCCTCGCAGGATGCGGCAGTTTGGTGAACTGGAGCACCAGGGCCCGCGCCGCGCCCTGCCCGCCGCGCATCGTGAGCCCGA